ATAATGGGGATGGTTTCCGCCTGAACACAGTGCCAGCCCTGTCCCCCGAGCTTTTTGAGAAGCGTTGGTTAGAGCTGGAGTCGGCGCATATCCAGACCCTTGCCTGCCGACAGCCAGGTTCATCCCCGGAAACCCTGCAGGCCGCCTTGCAGCTGGTCAAAATTCAGACCCTGGCTTTCAGCAGGCCCGGCGCTCGCCCGTGGAAGGCCTACCTGTACACCTACAGCTCCGACACTCTGGTTCTGGCTGAACTGACGTGGGACGCGGACCCAGGGGCGGCTGACCTTAGTGTGACCTTAAAGCAAGATCCGAAAGATGAGGAGGCTTTGAATGGTGTTGTGTTGGTGCTGCAGACAGTGTTGAACACTTTAACCAAGACTCGTGCGTCTGTCCCCTGAGACTCCCACAGGTACCAGTCCAGTAGCCTGGAAGGTTTACACTGGACACGAAGCTGCGGAGAGAGCTCTGTCAACCCAGTGACACTTAGAAGCTGAGATCGGCCACTGGGTCGCGCTTTTTATTTTATCAGCTTAGAACCAGGGTCTGGCTACATCTGCTGAGCACAGGAGCTCATGTCACGCGTGCTTTACTCTGTGAGCATAGACGCAGTGTTTTCTGATCTGAACACCTCAGTGCTAAACCATCTGAATCCCCCAAAAAACACTTTTTGGAGTTGTTTTACCACCCAGTTCGCTTACACAGCACTTGATGTATAAATGAATCCAGCTTCTCTAGCCTTTGCCGGCCATAGAAATTTTAAAGAAGAATGCCTGACCGTGTGAAGGACAGTTGTGGGAAGAGGTTATTTCATGATTCAAAGGGCCCTGGGACAGTGGGGGGATTGGAAATTATTTGGTTTGTAATCATAGTCAAGGAGTCAGCCCTAAAGTGATTTCCACTGCCCTGCAACACCAGGGTCTTGAAACAGCACCTGAAGGAGTAGAGCTTTTATCATATTAAGAAAATTAGAAAGCACTGGGGCTCCTGGGTACCAGTTTCAACTGGCCTATTGACCACAGCTTACTGTTCCAGAAGAAGTCAGCCACCTCAATGAAATTTAAGTCAAGAGTGCCTTTTTTTAAAACTGTAACAGAGTGACGTTCTGCTGTTATGCATTCGACAGCATGGAATAAGAGAAATGTTTTTTTTTTATATATATGCAGAACTAATATATGTGAAAATAAAAGTGAATGAGTATTTCATCTTCATGTGGTGCTTGAAAAGGGGTATGGGTTTTGAAATTTAGGAAACGGCTAGATAGTGTACTGCCCTTTTTTAAAATTCTGAACTAGCGAAGGTTTTCTTTTTAATGCCCTTCCAGTTTGGGAGCTGCTACTCCTTAATCACCTCCACTCACCCACATGACCTATGTACCTGTAAGGGACTGGCATTCCATCTAGGGTGTACCCCACCTTATGCCCATTGCTTGCAAGGGACAAGCTCCAGCTATCTGCAACCTTGAATAGGATGAATGAAAATGGACTGATTTTTGCAGACTCTTCTTTAATCAAATAAATAAAACTGAGCATCAGTTCACATGGTCTGAGTGATGAGGAAGGTCTGAATAATCTTCTTTGTCAAAGACAAATGTAATGAACTATTTATATGTTCCCAAATATACAATGACTCTAGTAACGAGACAGGTTTCTGAAATGCTTTAAAGCATTCCACACTTATGGGGGTAGCCAATAACACTATCTGTGCTGGGCTGTAGTTGTGTCTTGCTGCAGTGGGTTAAGGTTTTGATTTTCATTTTGCACTGACATTCTTTTTCAAACTTAGATGCAACTTTAATAATAATAATAATAAAAAACTTTATTTTATATAGCGCCTTTAAAGGTGGCTTCTCAAAGCGCTTTACAGGATGACAATAACAATAAATAAGAAGACTACAACAATAAATAAGAAAATTTCACAAGACAGGACACAATTATAATTACAACAATACAACAATAACAATAGAGGAGACCGTGGAAGATGGTATTAAGAAGAGCAGAGGGGTGAAGAATGGAACCAGTTAAGTAAAGGCTTTTCTGAAAAGGAGGGTTTTGAGTCTGGATTTGAAGGAGTTTAGAGAAGGTGACTCTAATATCCTTGGGCAAGGAGTTCCAGAGCTTGGGGGCATAGCAGGAGAAGGCCCTGTCGCCCATACAATGTAGACGGGCTTGGGGGACAGTAAGGAGGGCGGAATTTGAAGAGCGGAGGTTGCGAGGTGGGGAGTAGGGCGATAAAAGTTGAGGGTACGGAACCTTGTGGAGCTTGCCCACAGCAAACTTCAGCAAACTTGAGCTGCAGAGAAGGCTGGAGAGTGACCTTTACCATGAACAGGTACTACATCCAAGACAGGTGATCAGGAATCTTGGCAAAGTCCCCAATCATCAGGATGGAAAGGATTGTAAAAATGGAGGTGATGGAGCCAATCCAGTCTGGTGTCAGGAAAAGTATGCTAATTAGGAGGCTTGCGGACTGAGGGGAAGTTCAAACTTCAGTGTCTAAAAATGACCTCATTCTACTTATTTTTCCATTTTTAATTTCCTCATCTGTGACCACAGCCTATTAGATTGCCAGGTCCGATTTGTGGAAACAATGACTCAAGTTTTTGTAGTTATGCAATTAGGGTAATTCAATGTGCTTTCCATCTGTCACTAGTGAGAAATAAGTCACATGGTCTATATGAGTTTGCAGTGTACATTGGGTTGTTATAAAGTCATACAACTCTCACCTCATTCTAAAAACAAATATTTAAATATAAACTTTATTTTTGACACAGTAGTGACAGGATTTGTGGTTGGTTGCTAGTGCTGCTGAAATCAAATTAATAGATGTGATTCTTTTCAGGATGAATGATCCTGGGTAGAGTCACTGTGCTCTTGAATATTTTCCATTGGTTCACTGTATGACAGTGGATGGAGCCCAAGATGTTTAGAAATGATTTTGTAACCCTCTTGAGTAATCAGCATCAACTCTTTTTTTTTATCTGAGGTCTTGTGAAATCTCTTTTAATCACCCAAATTCAGTCCTTGTTTAGTGGTTACCAAATTATTTAACCACCTGATTTTAATTACCCCCTTAATTGCACTTTTAATACATTTAATTCCAACCATACATCCATTTCTGACCACTTTATCAAGTTCAGGGTCATGGGGGAGCCAGTACCTATCCCAGCAAGCAACAGGTGCAAGGAAGGACACAACCAGGACATGACAGCAATCTGTCACAGAGCGCATACAAACACAGACACTCCACAATTATGGGGCTGGCCGATAACTCTAGTTATGCTGTATTATGTATTGATGTTCATTTTGTACTGACTTTTTCAGCCAGTATGTTTTTCCACCAATATGAACTGTGGGAGAACAGTAGGGAAGACAGCAGGAAGAAACCCATGTAAACACAGAGAGAACATGCAAAGTCCATGCAGACAGCACCTCAGGAAATTAACCCAGAGCCCCAGCGCTGTGAGGTAGCAATGCTAACCACTGTGCCACTGTGCTTCCTACACCTCATTCTTCAGTCTTATTTTCTTCTACTTCATACTGCGTGCATCTCAAACATTGAATTGATAAATACAAGCCATTATGCTTGTTTACGCAAAGACCAGATTCAATCAAACAAGCGTTAAACATGTTAAACAATTGTCATTTCCATAATTATATTTAAACTCTGGCACTGTGATGTCTTTATTTGTGAAACAATTTCCAAGACCGACCACATCCAGACTGCGGCACACCAGTGGTTCCTGACCATGTACCTGGAGGAGCAGTCTGCTGGTTTTCATTCCACACCTCTAGTGCTCTAGTTCTAATTGAGGACTTAAATAGAAGTTGAAAAAAGCACATCGATCAATTAACTTTGATCTTCGATTAGTCCTGAGTATCAAAAGTACCCTACTTCAGCACACAGAATATTACTCAGCCTCTCCTCAACTTGCCATTATTTATGAAGAACCAGCTCTTACTAGTTGGCCAATTGCTAATGAACAGGCATAGGTGGGAATAACATCAGACACTCGCAAAATGGGCATTTTTGTCCAGTTGAATCCATTTAAAGCAGCACCGCCTAAGGAGGGGTTCAGAAACTTGGCACAGGGGTTGATATCAATAACACACCCTTTGTTTCATTTGACCTTTTAACTGCAGATATTTCCCAGAACTCTTCTGAAGGTACGTGCTGCTTTATGTTCGGTAGGTGAACAAAGGAAAGCGACAGTTCAGAGCTGTACCTGAGCAGCGAAGCAGGATAGGGCACTGACACCCAGAAGAGCAGCGGCACTCCCAGTCTGCTCCTCCAGAAGGCGATGGAGAGGTGGCCCACCAGGCGAGGCAGGATGAAGGCCAGCTCCATCAGCACCTTGGCCAGGAAGTAGGCCGGGGGGTGGTACTGTAATGGAAAGTTACTGAAGAAAAGTGTTTTATCCTAAAAATGTAGTTTACGGGCAGAGCTGTGTTGTAAAAGCAGCCGGATTCTTTGAGCAAAGTGTGATCGTACCCAGCGAGTCAAGGGCATGGGATGTTCTAAGAATATGTTTATCTCTGCCCCAGCAAAAAAGGCAGATACAAAACTGCACGTAGCCGTCTTCTCTGTCCTTCAAGGCTAAGACCTCTAAGGACTGGAAAATTACTGTCTTGCCTGTCTTTGTATTACTAACCAACCATAATGAAGTAAACAAGTTGAGGTGCTGCATCAGCTAAGTGTATAAAATAAGGGACTTTTCTCTATTTTACTTTGGAAATCAGCTCCCACTTGCTGCACAGAGTGGCGGTTGCGGTCTTTCCCTATTGTGCAATATGAATAAATGCCTTTTATGGATTACTGCCCCCATGCTACTAAAACCAGAAAAAAATCATTTTCAATACATGAAAAGAGAGATTGCCACTCATGAAACACACTAGAGTGCTTGTATCTGTGCGTTCTGCACCTCTCATAGTAAAGCAGAATGATTAATTCTTACTGTTCGGCAGTTTGATGTGAACACACTGTATTCTGAAGCCTTTCTGCAGGTCTTCAGTACATGAAGAAACAGTGTTAGAGTCATACTCACGTGATCCCACTGAGCAGTAGACAGGGGTGAGGAACCAGCACAGCATCAGAATAAACACCTGAAATGAAAAGAGAATGGAAAAAAAATGTTTTACTTATCCTGTTGAAGAAGGGAGCGATTCACCTGCTGCAAGTCTGCATGACTGTCTTTTAAAGTTTTCTTGTGAATTTGTGAAGCAGAGGTTTGCTGTTTTTGCACATTTGGCTCTTATATGTATGTTTTACACTATCCATTCCAAAAACTTTGCAAGCTTTTACAGTTTTAATATAACACAACAGATGATGAAAGAAATATTATCTGCCATGTTACACTAAGTGTGCTTGGCTCTGCCCTAATATTAGCATTAAGTCTCAGAATTAGCAAAGTTGTTTGTAGTGAAATGTGAAATTGTAATAAGGCAAGGCAGTGTAAAAAGTAAAGGACAGATGCAACTAAAGGCTCCAGAGCTTTTTTTTTTTACCATGGTAAGCTCTCCAGAGCAGTTATCTCCTTGACATGCTGCTCTCTCCACAGTTTTCTTCTCTTTCCTTCCTCTTATCTCTGTGGGAGTCTCCCCTCTTTTGACTTTTTTACACAAGACAGGCTGTGTCAGATATTTTACCCGAGTCAGTAACTTTGCTTCCTTAATCTCCTGTCTTCAAATGAGAAACTGGAGACCTGGGCTTTCCTGCACCACTCATTCCCAGTCTGTATCTGTGATTTAAGTTACACACTGTATGACCTGTTTCTGGGAGCTCTCGCATTTGTGACCTCATTTGGACTTTTTCAGAATTCTCATTATCGTTCACCTTGCCCCAGCATTCCAAGAGCAATCTTCCTTTAAGATGTAAAACTTCAAAAAAGACATGATGCACAGCACTTTAAACAGAGTTCCACCCCTACAGAGCAAACCCATCTCCCTCCTGTCAAACTACTGTATGTAACGTAAAGTCATACCTTGACGTGCCCTGTGGAAGCTTCCAGAAGGCCACTGGGGACCATAAAAATAAGGTTCAGAAAGGTCCCTGTGTTCTATTGTGCTGTATAGAAACAAAACAAAAACTGTCCAAACTTAGCAAAAAACAGTACACAGACATACAAAGCATGGAGGCTACCAGCATATTCATGCAAGTAGTCTACTGACTTGCAATGAGAAAACCACACCCACCAACCCCCATGTGAATATTCAGACATACCACACAATTCAGGCACATTAAGAAATAAGCTTTAATATCTGTCTCTGCCGGAATCATTTAGCCAGCCCAGTCATAACAATCCACCAAGTGGAAATCTGAACATCTGAATGTGCCTTCTCTGGTATTCTGGCATTTTATCATTTTTTCCCTATTTAAAACTGAGCTCAAGAAAAAAGCTCAAGTTGAACAACATTTTGCTCCATTTCACACACCCCTATCCCCTGCTCCCCACATTCACTCCTCTCCTCCTGCCCACCTCTTGACTATGATCTTTCACTTGCTCCTCCTCTTGTTGAAGCTGGTGCCAGATGAGTCCGGTGATCACTGCCAAAATGAGGGTCCTGGCTACGTGGAGCCCAGTCAGATACAGCTTGAACTGTCACACCGCCAGAAAGACGTAGGCCAACCCAAGCTGTTAGGAGTCCTCTTCTTACAGCTTCCTTAAGGCAAAAGCATGGGACACCAAAGAAACAGGGCACGCCACTACAGCCATTTCATGCTCAAAGAAGGCCTTGGAGTTCGGGCCACAGTCGGGAAGAAGTGAAGAATGGATCTGAACTTGGTCTCCCAGGCTGCAAGATTTTTCTTCAGAGCAATGAGGAGCTAAGACAGTCAACATAGGTTCCTTTACAGCACTCCTGGCTCTGGAGGACCCCTGTGTCTGCTGGATCATGTTCTAACTGGGCCCTTGATTACTATTGTTAATTGTTGCCAGTAACTGTTCTGCTGACTGGTTTAGACATTTTTCTTCACTCTGTAGTGGTTTAAAAAAACCACAGAACTCTATGAGGTGCCTGCCTACTCATTAAGAATCAGCCCCCTTATTACTCATGATACTTTGAATAAGTGATCAATTAGTGAACAGAAGGTGTAAAAAATGTACCAGACCCACCCACAGCGAGTCAGTTTTTCCTTCTGCTCAAGTCTAATATTTCAACAGGCACACCTAAATGAGAGCAGTTCCAAAACCCTCAAATAAGCACAGGGTTCATACAAATTACAAACATAATTTGGTTTTTTAAAGAAAAGAAAGCACATTTATTTTAAAAAGGCCTTACAGAATCCAAATACATTTGCCTGTGTTTAAGAACTCTGCTGGATCAAAAAAAAAACAGCCGACACACTGCTTCAGAACAGGACTTACTGTACCACAGACCAGGACTGAGAACCACTGCATTAGAGCTTTGAACAAGGAGGGGACTTTCCTAAAATAAGGTACAAAAACAAGATCACTCACCTGCCTTGTAGTCCGAGTAAATCCCATTTTTCCTGTCAAGATTCACAGGGTATCTTGAGGCAAGATCTCAAGGAGAGAGAGAGAGCTGAAAGGTGGGGTGTTGTAACTTGCTGGCAAAAATGTCATGTCTTTAACTGTAGAAGTGCTATGTTTAGAATTAAGCCTGCTTCAAATCCTAAAGATTTAAAACGATACAGAGATCTACAGTGACTATCAAAAGTATTCACCCGCCTTCAACCTTTTTCTATTTTGTGTTACAAAATGGAATCATATTTAACTGGGAGTTTTTGCCATTGACGAAAAATTCTTTATAATGTCAAAATGAAAACATAATTCTACAGATCCTCCTAAATTTATTATAAATATAAAGCAGAAAATGAATGACTACATACATATTGAGTCAATATTTGGTAGAGCCATGGTTGGCAGAAATTACAGCTATGAGTCTTCTTAGATGCGTTTCTACTCATTTCTTGAAAAGAGTAAGAGTGTTACCCTGGCGTCCTGGCCAAATTTCCCACTGGCCTTTACCAGTCATGGCCTCCTAATAATCCCCCTCTCTGAACTGGCTTCATCACTCTGCTCTCCTCCCCACTGATAGCTGATGTGTGGTGAGTGTTCTGGCGCACTATGGCTGCCGTCGCATCATCCAGGTGGGGCTGCACACTGGTGGTGGTGGAGGGGAGTCCCCAATTACCTGTAAAGCGCTTTGAGTTGAGTGTCCAGAAGAGCGCTATATAAGTGTAAGCAATTATTATTATTACCAGCTTTGCACATTTTGACACTGCACATTCTTTGCCCAGTCTTGCTCAATCTTCCTCAGGTTGGATCAGAAATTTTGATGAACAGCAATTTTCAACTCTGGGCACAGATTCTTGATTGGATTGAGGTCAGGTCCAGGCTTTGACTGGGCCACTCCAGAACATTTTTTTTTCTTTTTAATCCACTCCAGTGTGGCTATGACTGTATGAATCTTCTCCAAAGTCTGATGTCTTGTGCAGACTGCAGCAATTTCTCAGTTATTTGCTGCATCCAGTTTGTCTTCTATATTCACTAGTCTTACAGGCCCTGATGCCGTGAAGCATCCCCATACCATGATACTGCCAACACCGAGCTTTACAGCAGGGATGGTGTTCACTGCTACACTGGCACAAAACATAATGCTTACTATTAAGGCCAAAAAGGTCAATTTTGGTCTCACCAGACCATAGAATCTTCTTCCACTAGGTCTCATAGTCTCCCACATTTGTCCAAATTTGTGAAGCACCCAAGCAATTGTCATATACACAGTTTCTCCCATCTCAGCTGTGGAAGACTTAAATTCCTTTAGAATTGTCACAGGCTTTCGCCTGCTCTTCTCCTGGGGTTATGCAATGCCTTTCTTATACCATTCCCCTGACTGGTGCTTTTCAAAAACCCAATCCCAAATTTTCTTTGAAAGTTCCTTTGTCTTTGTAATTTTTGTTGGCACCTGTACTGATCAGCTGTGGGACCTCCTAGAGATAGGTATATTTATCCTGAACTCATGTGAAACACCCTAATTGCACACAGGTAGATTTCTTTCAACAATGTGACTTCCAAAGACATTTGGTTGCACCAGAGCCTATTTAGGTGTGTCATAGTAAAGGGGTGAATACTTATGCAACCACTCTCTGTTTTATATTTATAATGTAGGAAGATCTGTAGAATTGTGTTTTCACTTTGACATTATGGAGTGTTTTGTGTTGATCTATGGCAAGACATTCCAGAAAAATACTTTGTGATTCTATATGGTAATACAGTTAAATGTGAAGAAGTCCAAGGGCAGTGAACACCTTTGATAGCTACTGTATGCTATACAATCAAACAATAAAATGTTGATAACATACAAAACTCTAAATTAATCATAATTCTTTACCCTGAATTTAAAAATAATCTAAAGCATTTTATCTACTGCAATTTAGAAGTGCAGTTTCTCTTATGGAACCTTAGTACTAGATATCACAATGAGATATGAAGTCAAACCTATGGACATATACTTTTTCACTTATCGGAGCCTCTTGCTCTAGCCCACAATGCTTTGCATGGCCTCTGGGGACTCCACCATCTTATCCACTGAAAACAGATAATGATACCTTACACAGGAGACATTGTTCCTATCCATGTAGTAGTAGGCTGTTTAGGACAGTAAACAGGTTGTTACAGGTGTACTGACGCATTCCCACTGGTTTTGTACTGTCTGAAGCCACTCAGGGCTCTGGGAGAGAACCCTGAACCTGCCCTGGCATTCTAGTTACGCAACATGTCAAGGTCTGACTGCTGTGGAATTTAAACAGTTGAATTGCAGTGAATGCATCCCTGTTTATTTAAAACCCTGGTAGGTCGTGGAAAGGACAAGTACAAGACAGAGGGACAAGGAGGGAAAGATGAGTGCTTTTTCTCACTCACAGATGAAGTCTGCTGGGTTACTCTCTGGAGGACACTGCATTCCCAGGTCTCCAAGGAAGTCTGTGACCTTCGATACCTGCCCAGAATACACAGCTTTAAACAAAAGTAAGGAGTTCAGACTCTCTCTCACTCAGGAAGAAATTGAATGACCCTGTATTTAACATTGATGTCCAAATTTAGGACAAATTGACAACTATAAAGTGCTGGTCTCTGTAACTTCTCCATTCTTCTCTTTCAGTTTCCCTCCAATTCAGGGACACAGAGGAGCCAGAGCCTACAAGCATGGGAGCAAGTCATATAAACACCCTAGATGGGACGCCAGTCTATCGCAGGGTAGGCATACACACACACTCACACCAGGACCAATTTTCACAGAAGCCAATTAACCTACCAGCATGCCTTTGGACTGTGGGAGGAAAGTAGATCACAGTGCTGTGAGACAGCAGTGTTAACCACTATGGCACAACGCAGCCCTTAAGCAGACCTGAGTGTTTGAAAACAACATGAGGTGAATTGTATCTACAATTACCCTGAGCTGAACTAATGAGCTACATCAAATGAATTCCTAGATATCTGAAGACCCTTCACAGTGCATGCAGAATGAATTGGAATCTGTCTTTAAATAAGATGAAAAGAGTAATAATTCATTTACTACATATTACATTCACTACACTGTCTTAGTTAAAATGAGAGCATGCTTTGTTATTATATTTCAGCAAATTAGCTTAAATTATACCAATTTGTTAGATGAAAGCACTTCGATAGTATTACAATAAAATAATTAGCAATACCTCTGAGGCACTAAATCCATATAATTGTCAAGCTTTGACTGTCATACCCACGACAATCAGTCAAGCCTGACAAACAGCCTGCTGTCATGACGACTTGATCTGAAAGGAGACTGACTACCTATAAGCAATTAATCCATCACTTACCTTTAACCAACAGGATATTCAAGACTAGCCTCAACCGTATCTCTGTGCTCAGTCTTAGAGGTTCATCTCTGCTCTCGGCATTCAGTTTTCTCATGCTTGCTTGTTTCTCACAGCTTTGTTCTACACTTGTGCTGCTGACTAGGTCTCTTTCCCACCCCTGTGCTTTGCCTGTATTGGCCGGGTCCGTCTCGATCTGGCCTTGGACTCCCTCCTGTGCTATGAATTTGGCTTCCTTCAACTCTCTCTTGCCTGTGTCTTCCCTACTTGTAAATCTACTTCATTTTCGACCACGGCTTTGGACTGTGTTTCTCTGACTGTTTTCTTTGCTCATCCACATCTCTGCTTTCATCAGCCTGCTCCCTTGTCTCAGCCTGCAACTGGGATTCAGCCCACTGCCTCTGACCACTGCTCGCAGTCAGTTTAGCACATTAGTTCATGCAGCAACATTACATTCATAATGTGGCCCTTATTTCAATGTACTGGAGCTTTGCCATTCTTTTGTTAGCGGGAGGGCACTTGCGTTCAGTTTTAACCCCAATGAAAATTCACTTGCCTGCCCATGTGCCAAAATGAGCAGTTTGTCAAAGGAGCCGAGAATGTCTGATTTACAGAGCACAAGATGGTCTTCCTGTTTCTTGGCCAAGCACCTCAAGGTGGAGAGGAGACACCATGAGGTGCCGGAGTCTAGACCAGTCATTGGTTCCTAAAATGATGAAGGAGAGCGGTTCTAAAATGAAATACCTTGATAGTTTGAAAAGACTCTCACACATCATGTTGGAGAACTGCAGCTTGAGAACGTTTCCCTTATCGAGGGGAACTGCAGTCTTCACTAAGTGTTTCAGGAACAAACGGGACTGCATACAACTGTTTGTTCAGAAGAATTACTTACAAAGCTTCAGTTAGCCTGCATGATTAAGAGGTTAATTACATAAAAACTCTGATATAAGGAAATGACTCACAGAGCTGTGTGGTGGTTCTGTAGTCAGCTAGCCTATTCAAGAAACAGCAACATTAAGACCATGCACATGACATGTGCTACATACATTATCCAGACAGCGCTCAGGTCAGGTTATTCTCCACAGAAATGGGTTTTACTCACTACAGGCCATTAAGACCACTGGCATCCATCACCAAAGCATTCCTAAGATATACAATCTGATGCATCAAATGTTCATGACCCATTTTGTCCAGTTTGTGCACCAGATTTTCACAGCTCCAACGATGGAGAACTGCAGGAACTCTCAAACATCTTTACTCCGAGGGTCTACTTACATCCTGGATCAGCACGGAAGGGTCGCTCAGCAGTTTGCAAGCCATCTGCACTCGCCTTTGCTCTCTCCTCCGGACAGGGCCCTCAGAGGAGCGCCCCCTGCAGCCATGGGAGAAAAGGGTTTAGGGGTCAGGCTGTGCGATTCAAAGTGCAAGAAGGGCTACAGACATAAAAAAGATCACTTTATTAGCCATATACAATTTCTTGCATTAGGAATTCATCTTTTCACATACCCCAGCTTGCTATCCATGAGACACAGACAGGGAGAGAAGCTTGGGGTCAGAGCGCAGGGTCAGCCATTGTACAGCGCCCCTGGAGCAGTTGGGGTTAAGGGCCTTGCTCAGGGGCCGACTGGAGTAGGATTCCTCTGCCAGCCACAGGATTTGAACCAGCAACCTTCCAGCCACAGGCGCAGATCCTTAGCCACAGTGCCACTGCTCCGCCCATGACATATCAAGCTCACTTGGATGAATTTGGAAAGCCTGCAACTATAGAAGGCCAAACAGCTGGTGCAGGGCATGCAACTTTTCCACAACGCACACCAGGTGACTTTGCAGGGCAAACAGCAATGTGCAAGAGAGGATGGCGTAGGCACGCCTACGGCCCTTCCACCTTGGAGCAGAAACAACATTTCAAAACACTTTGCATTTTGCCTTCTCCGCTGAAGGTTGAGAGGATGTTACGCTTTATCCCCGCAGGATGTGTCGATACACAAACGTCTCCCGTCAGAGGGAACCAGCCCTCTTTCAGGTGTGCTACGTGTCTTGTTCAGCTGAAATATAACACAATCCCAAACTTAAAAATATTATCCAAGTGATCTTTTTGTCATCTTCTTTTCAAAAGGGCCTATTGGCCTCCTCTCATTTATAACCTCTCTTAAATTCTTCACTTGGTGTCTTATATTCTTCAGAGATTTATTCTTTCACACCAAGAAAGCAGAAATTGACAAGGTGAAACTGACATTCTTGAAATCTTTGAAGGTGGGATATTCCTTTGGGTTCTTATTGGATGAAACTGAAATGAGAAATGTCATCAACCATCAGTCATCAGGGGGCCTTTTTCTTGGCAAAGGTTGTGACGACCCCTTGGAAACAGAGGACACAAATCTGGACTACACTCTAAACAGCACACCAGTACATCGCAGGACAATACAAACACAGAGACCAATTTTGAGACACCAGCTAACCAATCAGTGTGTCTTTGGAAGGTAGGAACCAAATTGCCAGGAGAAAACCCATGTGATCACAGAGGAACATACAGACTCCATGTAGAAGGTGCCCAATTCTAGAATCACTGTGATGTACAGCTGTGATGTAGCACCATGCCACCCAGAAGAATCATCCATGTCTCTGAGTTCCATAACTTCAGCTCAACAGTCTTCTTCTAGGAGAGTTTAATACAGCGGCTCCTCAGCATGTACTGTATCGTGTTTTACATCTCAGCATGCAAAATACTGTGGCCCCAACACACATGTCCTACTTTCATAATGGGATCTCACAGAACGTTTTCCTTCCACAAACCTGGGGTTTTCTATGAGTTCTGTCATGCTGAACTTTATTTTAATTACCTTCATAACTGCGGCACAGCTGCTGAATGTGTGAGAAGGAGATGTCCCTGTCCCGGTTTACAAAACTGCGAAATATTTAGTCCAGTTGTTACATTTAGTTACGACATTCTCGACTCTTTAAAGAAAGCATTTTGTTTTTTACAATTCTCTCGAAATAACAAAAAGAGCTTATTAATTCCAAATGTCGACAAGCGTCTTCTACTCAGGCTCACCTTTTTTGGAAACACCTGCGCGGGTCTCCTACAGAAAGATGCAGCACTTTTCACTTTACTATAAACAGGTATCGACGTAGGCTGGAAGTGATATCGAATCTGTGAAGTACATTGTCTTTTGTAAAGGCAAACTGCACAAATGCATAAGTACGCAATTCCATTTTGTCACCGAGGAGGAATCTTCAAACCTTTGTAGAAGCGCAGTGAAAATACTGTGTGCATGGGTGCAGTAGACATCTCTATCAGAGAAAACTACCAGCGAGCCGGAGTCCAAATTGTTTTATTGTAAACGCACGTTTATGCGTTAAATAAAGATTAAATATGCGTTTATACTGACTTGATGACTTCAGTTCCATCTTGGACTCTCAGAGAAAAATAATCATTGAAGTGAGTTCTATGAGGAAAACATCCGAAAAAAAAAACTACAGTCGTGCGATACATTCCCAAATGTATTTCCCTTCGCTTCCAGTGCATAGTTTGGAATTGATTTTGTTTAGAAAAGACTTTCAATGCGTCCTGGCGTATCAGTACTGGTGGAGCATACGTATTGTTTGGTTTAAAGGCCTCCAGTTCTGTTTACTAATATTTTCGGCATGTACCAGGTACGGGTAAGTACTCAAGATACATGTGTACAAGTATCAGACTCAAAAGACGTAGACAGAAAGTGTAGCTCTCATTATTTTACTTAATAGAAGCAACAATGTCGGCGACAATTAGCGTAAATCCCTTTTTGTGCAGCAGGAGGACGGCCCCGGAGGTTTAGCCTGGTTGTTGTAATGGGATTTCAGAGCTCTCTGACGGCACGACTTAAAACTGGTTTGAAAAATCCGTCTAGAAACAGCTGAAAAGAATTCACGGAAAACCACCTGCGCTTCACGTAACAGGGCTGTCTCCATTTCTCAAGATCTCTGTATATCTGGAAAGAAGGATTTATCGAACTGATGGACTGAAAATCCAAACTGGAATTGCATCGCTCTACGTCGGAAGTCGGACGTCTCCCCGTCATGGGAGGGTCGCACGCAAAAAAAGTGAGTTTTTATGACACTCGCAGATGTTCTAAGAGGTTTTTTTCTGCAATCTTTTATGTGTTGCAAACTGATATTTAAAACTCTTTCTCAGCGCTTTAGGTGCTGCACTTGCGCATTATTTCTGTGGGATAGTAACGTGTAAATTCGCAAAAACGTTTTTAAAAATGAGGTCCTATGGTCCTCAATAGTTTTCATTTAGTGATTGAGTAGAATGTGGCTTCGGGCCGTGCAGTTTTTCCGACATGTCCAATGATGTTGCAGTAGTTTGACATACTGGTGGATATTCGAATTATTCAGTACACCTGCATAAAATGACGATTTCTGTTATCGCGCTGAGATTCAATACTGCAGTATTGCAACATTTGTGTGGCGTATAGAACATGTAGGGGTTATGAGTGTTATGGGCGCAGCTACACCAGACTAAGAACATCGGTCTTGCTTACAGACTACTTTGACATAAAAGATGTAGATTCAGTGGTTCATCGCTGTTTTTCCGATAGCCAAGTTCTTAATCACAAGCTAATTAATGTAAATTTTCTATTCCGTTCATAGTTTTTAATTTGCTTCAATATCTTATGTCGTTGAATGCAATTTGAAATGGATATCAGTCCTCTGATAATTTCGGAATTTTAACTTTTATCTGTGTTGCCCGAAAGGTAACCAGCTGGAACTCTGCAGATGTTCTCTGTGAGGGTGTCTGATACATTGTCTTTCCATCTGTCTGTTACACTATCTTACAAATTTGGGTGCGGAATTTGTCGGACACAATATGCTTGAAGTGGGTTACCTGTGAAACTCAAGACAGAGCGCGGAAACAAGCAAGCACATCAAGTAAAGGCAACAGTTACTGTAGCTCTGGTGATTCATAGCTCAACTGGTCCCCCAAGAAAATGTTTTAGAACCACTTGAGTTCGGGGTCCCCAGCTCTGTTCCTGGGGGGCTGGTGTAAGTGTTTAAAATAGCAGCACCTGAAGAGCTGGGAGAAGATGAGAAATTGGTCTAATGAATCCATTTGGAGCTGATTCAAATCATTAAGAGCCCAGCTGGACTGAAACCTTTGTAGACCTGAGACACCCCTGGTCTTGTCTGCTCACATAATTAACTGGGAAAAAAAGACTTGTAGTCCAGACATAGGTTTTATATTTACAGTACTTAAAACCATGTGCATCTTGGTCCAAATAAGACAATGTTTACTTTGTGGGTTAGAGAGTTTAAACCAGTGGACTTTGCAGCTTAGAGGTGATGCCAATCTGTAATAACAGGTGACCTATTAGACTGACTGGACTGGGGCTCTCCAGGACCAGGGCTGGAGACTCTGTGATTCAGACTGATTGGAGCTCTCTGGGGCCAGGGCTTGAGTCCCCTGCTTTATGTCCTCCGCAACATACTTGTTCCAGCGTGTGCAGGAAAAATTAAGTCAAAGCTGAAGAAAGAAGGACTCTCTTCACACAGGGATAAGTCGGTGATGCTGTTCTTCTCGTTTTTCTTCCTAAGAGTGGCCTTTAGTAAAGAAAAGGATATATTGCTATGCAGAATAGTAAGAGTAGAAAGATAAACTCTTAAATCATATGTACAACATATGGAGACTTGACATGATTGTTCAAATTATATAAATAAATACAATAAATATGTTGGTCTCAAAACGTGAGACACAATAAAAATTGCAGATTTGTTTGTTTAAAAAGCCAATGTATTCTGACCTGGAGAAGCACATCTTTACACAGAGAGTGGTGGGTTTCTGTTGCAAACTGCCCAGCCACATTGCTGATGCCAGTTCCTAGGCATCTTTTGTGAAAGTATGAGATGCTTTGATTAATAATTAATAAGTCATAGCTTTTCAGTGTAACAGTGGGGACAACAATAGTGATATAATTAGATCAAACTGTTAGACCTAAACATATCTCAAAATTATTTGTTAAATTTGTGGATCATTCCGCCCCCCTCAGTAATATTGTTCTTATATTGAAAAATATTATGAAACAGTGCATGACATTACCATTGTATTACCCAACTCTGATGAACGATGTACCATCTGGTTCCCTGAAAACCAGTGCATGTCCTTTCACCTGAGGGGGGAGGCAGGTGATTAGCTGTTTAATCTGATTTAATTTTGGAGTTAATCATTTCAGAGGCATCTGCTGGGATTTTGTCATGCTGGCTGTCGGAAAATCCCTTTGCACAGGCCGGACACTGAGAGCCACCCTGTTCGTGCTGGAAAACAGCAGCATATTGTTGCATCCAAAAGGTTCCTTTATCTAATCAGTCACATGATCATATATATATTCTCCAGTTTTGGGGCAGCGTGATGGAATGGTGGTTGGCTTTGCTGGGTCCTTGGGTTCAGTTCTTGGGGTGCCATCTGCCTGGAGTGTGTATGTTCTCCCCTTGTTCCAATTTCTTCCCACTGTCCCACTATTGGTAGGTTTTTGTCTGTGTGTGCCCTGCGATAGACTGGTTCCCATTACTTGCCAGGACGGCTCTTATTGCACTGCAACCCTGAATTGGATGAAGTGGCTAAAAATGAATGGATGGATGGATTATCTAGCTTTGTTATAAGTGTTAGCTGTGCCACAAGTGCATCTTATTGGATTTCATTTTATTTCAAATAAAATAATAGACATGACAATAAATGAGTCCTCGAGTACTCGCGTGGTACCAATGTCCCTCAGAACTGCTGCAGTTACCCCCATGCCAAAAAAAACAAAATATGTCTCTGGGCAAGCTAAACAATTTTCACCCTGTATCTAACCTAACCCTTTTGGAATTTTGGAACATGCTGAACAATTCAGGTAAACATCTGTCTCATTCCAAATAATCTCTTTGAACCCTTCCAATCTGGTTTTAGACAACTACACAGCACAGGAACTGCCCTGGTTTAAGATCATATGGTCTAAATGAACATTTCTATGCTGATAATACTCAAATCTATGTGCGTACTAACCTTGGCACCGATGTGGCTGTCTCTAATGCTTCTCGGCACCTTCCAACAACTATTTAAAGCCAAAGCAGTAACCCTGTCCGTGGCTGGTACTGAGCTTGAGTTTCAATCTAAATTAAATTACTTTGGGGTGATATTGGATCCAGGCTTGATGATCTAAATTCACATTGAACAAGCTACATTATGTCCAGAATACAGCAGCTGACTCCTGACAAGGTCATATTCAAGTGATCACTTTACTCCTGTGCTGGAGTCCTTGCACTGGCTTTCTATTAGGTTTTGTCAACTTTGTCGACTCCTCATGCTCACTTATAAGACTCTACATGGCTTGGCACCTCAGAACCTGTCTGACTTCTCTTCCTGCTCCCCACCTCATAATCTTTGTTCATCTAATTCTGGTTCCCTGTTGCTTCCCCAAACTGTCTTACACTCTATGGGTGACAGGGCCTTCTCTTGCTCTGCCCTGGAACTCTGGAATTCTCTCCCTATGGATATCAGAGAGCCTTCCCTGAATTCTTTCAAATCTAGACACAAAAATCTTCTATTCAAACCAGGCTTGATTTCTTTCTGTATTACAAACCCTCATTGTAACTGTTTAATTCTGCTTTCTCCTTGTGTATTTTTTTCTCGTTCTATAAAGTGACACTCTGAGAAGCCACTTTTAAAGGTGTTATATAAAATAGCTTATTATTATTTCATATCTCTCAGTTTACTTTCTCCAAGTCGAGATCTTATGGCCAACTATTGTTAATGTTCCCTTATTGCATTATTTGTACCCAGTGTGTGAAATAGTATGCAGCTTCCAGGTCATTGCCCTTTCATTGGGTAGATGAGTGAGAGAAACTTGTGACTTTGATACATGAATCAACCGTGGGTAACAAGCATATCTGCGAGTTGTACCTTCTCAGAGAAAACTTGTCCCCACCCATTCACTCTAATGATGCTCAGTGGGCACTCACTCACCATCAGTGGATCTCAAGGTGGAAATGATGACTGACATTCTGCTGGTATCGCCAAGTAGTGACTGCGTTGTAATTCACATAATGGTGCATCCTTCAATATTGCTACTTAACACTAAAAACCCCAGTTTTTTGGAACATGGGATCTAACATTTTTCTCTAACATTTTGCATTTGGCCTTCCACATCTTAAAGGTCAAGGCTGTTATTCAAGCACTGTTGTGATGTGCACCTTACAGATCTCCAATAAACTATCCAGCAGAGAGCAGACTTGACTAATTTGCTTATTTTTCAGTTTGCAAAGAGGACCTGTTCTCGCAGTCTTCTATTTTTATTGATGGTTTATATTAGTTTCTTGGGTGATGCATTCAGAAGTGAGTTTCCTCCAGAGCACATAAATATATTTAGTAAGGGACATTGACTTTAATCAGGGTGTGCAACTCTGTCTTCTGTTTCCATTTTTGCCTTTAGTCAGTTGATATGATTAATTGTAACAAAAAAAGAATATTGAAATTCTGAAGCAATTTCTCATTGTGTTTTAAGACTCTACTGTTTCTTAGTCATCTGGGCTCAAACTGACATATATTGAATCCTCAACATAATTGTCTTCACAATCTCTTCAGCTTTTAATAGGCCACCAGCTAATGATGTACACATACAGTGGGGAATTACTCTACAATAAACACTCACATCACAAACATTCAACAAAAGTTCTCATAGTGTCCTGTTCCTTAAAGTCCAGACAGCTGGTCATAAAAATATTACAGGTAAATACTCCAATTTATGGGTGATACTGTGCTAGGGACAGCAATATAGAATAATAGTCAGGGCTCTCCACTCCTTGGAGGATTCCCGATTCAGATCCTGTGTGCAGCACAGCTGTTGTACCCTCATGCAAGGTACTTCACTTGAGTTTGTCCATTAAAAACCAGGCTGTATAAGTGGGTACAAATGTAAGTCACTTATCCAGGTTAATAATTAATATCAAATGAGAGGGGTTCAAATAATGTAATCCAATTATTTATACAACCCTATGGAAATAAATACACAGCCCTATTTACCGTTATTGATGTTGCGACACTGAGAGACTCCTGTGCATTACTGTGTCCAAATGTGGTTTTGTCTACTCTGTATAGCACATTGGTGGTTCAAAACTGTATACCTCTGTACGTCACTATGTGCTTGTTTTTATGTTAGATGTAACCACATGTCCCACTAAATTTATTTTTTCTCTTTTTTGACTGTGCAGTTTAATATAAAAGATTAAGGGATTGCAAATATAGTCTGCTTAAACATAAAACTTGTCTATCCTGAAACCATTACCTCATCCTCAGAAGACCAAGAGAAGCTTTAACTGAAGTAGAGGTTTACTGATGCCAAAGCTAAACTTTTTTAAAGCTGAGAGGAGATTGATGTGAACATTTAACCTGTAAATGGGCCACGCGTTTTCTGGGATTTTTTGGTCTTCAAATTGCACACATTGCTTTGAGTAGAGTTTCTTTGGGAATAGATCCTGCTGGGTGCTTAAGGATGAATAAGAATCCCACTGTTCAGTAGCTTGATCCAGGGTGATAACACCAGTGTCCTGGCTAAACTCCACTCTCGTTGAGCACAATCTGGCCTCCATGAAGTTATCTCTTAATGCAACTGGTGAAGGACTTGTTTACCTCTGCACCTGTTCTTCCTGTTGTGGGACTGAAGAATGTGCAGAATGGTCATGCTTTACCCAGGTAGTTTGCTTCTCTCAAGGAGCAGATGAAGTATAATGATGTCTTGGTTTTTTCCATCATGGACAACACTCTCTTCATCTGGGTTAATGTCTTCTAACTCTAGAGGCTGACCCGAAAAGTCATTCACAGCTCTTCTATGTTATCACAAATATTGCAACATAGAAAACCTGAGCAGTTATTTGGGCAATAGCCATTCATTTGTCTCAATACTCATACTGACCTTAAACTGGGAGAGGGATTGAACACAAAAACATTTTTAACCATAATGAGGTTAAACACGAATGCACAAAAATATCCAGTAAAAGCTGACACTATCTTCTTTTGTCTCATTTGTATGTTTTGATCTGAAATGTGTGTTATTTTAGTGCACAGCAAAAATCACGTTTCACTTCATTGTACCAATACTTAATTTTCACTGTGCAAAGGGCTTGGCAATGCTTCTGGATAAAAAGCACTACATCAATGCAAATAATTATTTAATCTACTTTTTAGAAGCTGTTGCATAAGCCACCATTTGGTGCATAATACTATAAGGTCTGTTTGCATATTTAGAGTGTATTTCCTGTTCTCTTGTGGATTGCACAGGGGCCTGCTAGTCAAGTGCTCTGCAAGGGGAACCTGATTTTTATCCTTTAAAATAACAAATAACCATTTCCTCAAATTAATCATTTTCTTTCTGTTGTTTTTTTTCCTAACGGGGTGAATTCTGCAGAAGCCGGGGTTCAGAAACCCAAGGAAAGGTACAGTAAGATTTTGAGAATTCAGTGTTTGCAGTCTGGTGTTGGTGTTCTATATACTGTCTCGTGTCTGTGCATGAAAGCTGACTTATGCTATATGTTTTGGCTCATATTTGGCATTTATTTTTAAGATGCCAAGACAATTTATTCTTCATAGTCTTGGTGTGGCTAGGTGCAAGATATCTTATGTGTTTTTAATTGATAACTTTCAAGTTATCTGTATTTATCGTTATTTAAATGATTTTAACCCTTAACATCCAATAGCCTTGGATTTCTTTATGAATTCTAGGCATTAAAACGATGCATAACAGTTGCAGTTTGGAAACATCCTGATACATTAGTACAGATGAATGCTGATTATTAAATTTAACATTTGCATTTTCTGAATATACTCTAGTCTAAATAGCAATGAGCAGAGCGGACACATATTTCAACTAAAAAGCTCAGATGTTCTTGATGATAAGCAGGTTGAAATGAACAATTTAAGAGATCCTCTTTACAGAGCAAATCTAAAGCATAAATGTCAAAAAGCTTATGTGAATCTGAATATTGAAGCAATTTTTGAGTTTATGCCATATTTTTAAGATTAATCTTTATGCTAAGCCCTCTTGTAAAAACGTATTGGCTGGTGACTATAATGTCTTACTAATAAAACTGAAATCCAGCTCTGCTTTTGGTAAGAGTTTAAAAGTGGAGACAAGGTACCTTTTATTTCTTTAAACAGAGGATGAGAGGTCTGTTATATTTCCTTGAAGTAGAGGAAGTAAACATTGGAGAGAAACTTGATGAAGCAACTTATGTAGCCCTCTTACATAAAATCTTACACCCATTTACCCATAATCCTTTCTAACATTAGCATCTATTTCCAGGCTTTTGCTGTTAATCCTGTTCAGTCTTACTTTCCTTCCTGTATATGTTTGTGACAGCTACAGGAATATCCATCTCTGTGTGAAAGATTTTCTGAGCAACACTCTGTTCAAGAATATTTTTACTAATTTGTTTGGTTTTAAAAGAAAAGTGACAGATTTGTATGGGCAGACAATCTAAGCAAAAAATACCCCAAATTAAACCAAGGTTGTCAGAAACCCTCATCATCAAGGGTCACACAGATGTCTCTTTGCCACTCCAGCTTAGACCTCTTAATTACTCTTGCCACAGGTTGGGATTCTACCAAAAATAGGAATGTGAACAGACAAATTCCTAATACAATTAATTGTATATGGCCAATAAAGTGATCTTAACTTATCTAAATGCAAATTGTCATTCCAACAGGTTTTAGTCATCTCTTTAAATCAACTACAGCTGAAGACCTTTGAAGCACCTTTTGGGCCCTACTGCCCCAGTCTTCTGTTGCATTCACCTGTAGGGAAGCCCCACTGATCGGCATCCGTGCTTCTTCATTCCAGAGAACTACGTCTGTCGGATGTCTCCCACGCACCAGGCTGTGAACAGGCCCCCTGATGTCATCCGGCCGAGAAAGCTGACCAACCCCATCCTGGATTCGCCCAGCCATCAGGATCTGCACCGCGAGCTGCTGCTTGCTCACAAAACGTAAGCAGAGAGCTCTGCGTGACTTTGCATTGAGTAATCGCCCCATCCCCATCATCAGCCAGTCCCTACTCCCAGTGAGGGTCGCCGCAGGCTGAAGTCTGTTACCGGAGCATGGGCCACAGCGCTGGACTGATGCCAGTGTATTACAGGAACTAGAGCACCATCACCAGCAATGACTTATAGGAGTCATTGCTAGCGGATGCACAGGTTTAGATCTAGTAAGCAATACTGTTGGTATAAAACACAATAGAGGCATTTAAGAGTATATCTATGAATTGGCTTCATTACTCTGCTCTTCTCCCCACTGATAGCTGGTGTGTGGTGAGCATTCTGGCGCACTATGGCTGCCGTTGCATCATCCATGTAGATGCTGCACATTGGGGGTGATGGAGGGGAGACCCCATTACCTGTAAAGCGGTTTGAGTGGAATGTCCAGAAAAGCGCTATATAAGTGTAAGCAATTCTTATTATATTATCAATTTAACCTATCTTGCTTGATCTGGGTTCATCTTGTCTAATCTTCAAGGGCGACAGTCCTAGTAAGTTTAAACCATAGCGATTGTGAATTCATGTTTTTTTTTCCTCAGTTGGACAGATGTAAGCCTCCTGCACAGGTCTGAGGCAGCTGATGTTTTAAGACCAGTCAGAATCTGCCCGACTGTTACCAGATTTGGAGATCCTTGACATAAAAACCCTGTTTCTGGTTTTAATTTCAATGAAGGCCAAAGAGGGGGGAAAACTGCATGATTTTGAACTGTCATCAAAATTGTCAACAGTATTTCCAAAACTACATGGACAAGTGTCGCTAATATCTTTGCAGATGTTGCCTATTGCAGGTGTAGAAGGTGCAGTGGGATCTTGTTTTAAACAACAATAGTGTCCATTTTTCCATTATTTAACCAATACCGTTGCCAAATTGTACCAAAGTATGAATGCTTTTTTGTGCCAAGCAATTATCTGAACAACTTAACACTTTGGCAATAAAAATAGAAAACTTAGTGTAACTGAAAAGCACAGTAAAGATCTCCACACATTACCTCAAAACTGAACTTTTTCCACCATTTCAAGTCTAACAGAGTATTTACCTGTCACACCGAACCACATCTAGCAAGAAGAAAAATAGAATGAACTAGATGAAGCTAAAAGCCACAGACTCTTAACAGCCTGGGGTGACTCAGGCTTGTCTGCAGACCAGGACAGTAGGATAAACAGACTTTTTATATTGAGGACACAACTTTCCACTGCCTATTTCAAGAAAGCACATCTCAGTCTTTCTCATCCACTTAACTCCAGGATTAATGGTCTGGTAGCATGATGGCTTTGTTTGAAAACAAACAAATGGGCTTTGAAGAACTTTGATGTATTCTGAGGTCTACAAACGTGCATATTTGTCTCCTCATTACTGCTGCAACACTGATTGTGAATTGTGAATACAGTCAATATATTTCATTCCTGATCACACCCTTTTTCTATTTTTACTGTAATGACCACGTTTAATCAGCTTTAATCGGTGGATTTAAGACCAGGGCCCACTGCTTAAAAATACACAGGATATGAAGGGTGAACAACTGTGATTCTGAAAATCACTGTTTGCTGATGCTGTTGAAGCAACGTACTTGTAGTTTATTTTTCTTTTCTTAGTTGTTAGTTGCCAGGGTCTAGTCAGTCCAGATCCATGACGCTCATGCCCATCATGTGATTGGCATCGCACGTGACCCGTGTGGTGAGCCCACACAGTTGTTCAATGTAGCCCTTTAAAACTGAGCCATCAGTGCCCAGGCTACCAGGCACTGGCCAGTGAACACCACTGCCAGGCTTGGCTCCCAGTCTCCTTGATCGGGTAGGGTTCTCCGAGCTCTCCGAGTGCGGAATGGAACCATCATGGGAGTCTAGTTTGGCTTGTTCTTTAATAATAATAATAATTGCTTACATTTATATAGCAGTTTTCTGGACAGTGTGCTCAAAGCGCTTTACAGGTAATGGGGTCTCCCCTCCTCCACCACCAATGTGCAGCCCCACCTGGATGATGTGACAGCAGCCATAGTGACCAGTACCCTCAGCACACACCATCTATCAGTGGGGAGGAGAGCAGAGTAATGAAGCCAGGTCAGAGATGGGGATTATTAGGAGGCCATACTTGGTAAAGGCCAATGGGAATTTCGGCCAGTAAGTCCACAGCACTTGCCTTCACAGGCTGAGCTTGAATTCCGCAGGAATGCCCCCTCAAGGCAAAGTTTCACCACTCACTGCCAGAGAACTGAGAAGCCATGTGAATAATGACTATTTAAGATTCTGTTGTGCACAGCAATGACAGAAGGAAAAGAGCAGGTCTGTGCAATGATTTTGTTATGCAACACATGCAGGCTTACAGCTTCCCTTGGCAGGAGACTGACTAGATTAGTTGGTGCGTCTGAATTGTCCGTGTGTGCATGAATGTGTGCACACATGCCCAGCGACAGGCTGGCATCCCGGCCAGAGTTCAGTCCTGTCTTGCACCCTGTGCTTGCTGGGTACAAGGTGCAGTTTGGAAAGCTTTCCTGATGGACAAGCACCCTTTGAGCAGAGGACCTGACCACCCTGAAAACTATTTGTTTAGCAGAGGATGTCTGTTGAAAAGGAGTGGCAGATGTTTCTTTTTTCCAGGTTAAAGGCTAAGCCTGCTTTCCATGTCCCCTTTGAAGTCATGAGCTTTTCCGACGATGTGGTTAGAATTTTAAATTTGAATGTTGAATTTTGTACCATTCTGTTTTGAAGAGAATGTGCAGCAAAGAAACACAGAACTGACATAAAGCACAGTGCTCTGGCTCCAACAGCTTTGGGCTATGAACAGTGCATTGTCTGTTCGCCCTCCGACCTCGAGCTGTAACTATGCTCTTGCTTCACAATGGAGCTGCATGTAAGTGTCCTGCCCTGCTCTATAGGAGGGATGGTGCTGCAGTTTCCTGTTCTACCCCTGTGTGAGTCGATGCTGCCCTCTCCTGCCCTCCCATGGGGGAGGGGGCAGTCTGTCCTTTCCTGCCACCCGCTATGGGGTGTGGGGGTGGGGACAGTCGGCCCTCTCCTGCCTAACGCTATGGGGGGTGGGGGCAGTCTGCCCTCTCCTGCCCTACGCTATGGGGGGAGGCAGTCTGCCCTTTCCTGCCCTGCGCTATGGGGGGGGCAGTCTGCCCTTTCCTGCCCTGAGCTTTGGAGGGGCAGTCTGTCTCACCTCGACCTGCAGATGACTGAGCTTTCTGGTGCTGCAGGGGCCTGTTGCCAGGGGAGAAGCCGGAGCTGCAGCGAGTCCTGGAGCAGAGGAGACTGGAGCAGCACCGCGAGCAGGAACAGGCCCTCCAGCCGCCCTCCGACCTCGAGCAGGAGCTCCGCAAAAGACAGCAGAAACTGCAGGAGGTACGACATCATCAAACAGCACACTGGCCTTGTTCAGCAATGCAGGCCCTTTAACCTGGGGCCCTGCCTGTCAACTCATAATGAACTGTGACAACAAGCTTGAAACGATAATAAACGGGATCATTGCATCAGTTAAGTTGCTGATTATTTAAAACAAGTCACACAGGGGAGTGGAAGGCCCACAGCCTTGGACTAAAGCAATGCTAAAATGAAAAACCCGTACAGCACATGACCATGAGCTACAGGGCAAAATTACAAACAAAAGTATGTGTAAACTGGTTTATGTTAACATTAAAAGAACCAATGGTTCCCTGATTGGTTTAACCAGTCAAGTGCTGGTTCCAGTGTGTGCTGTGTGCTAACTTCCTGTTAGTGAGGCCCAGTTCACCTTGATTCTTCGGGGTGTGGGGGATTGAAGTAACTGGCCATGAAATCACTAACTTCCCCCCATGGCTCTTGGGACAGCAGTGAGAGCTGCCCCTTCCACCCCCACCTCAGCTGGGTGAAAGGAGTGGACAGACTGGCAGCAGATACTTCGACACTGGTTAGAAATTCAAAGAGGTAAAAGGAAAATAAATGCCTGGCAACATACATTTTTTTCAAAAATGCCAGCAGCCATGTAACCCTGCAACTCACACCTGGCAGCCCACTGAAGCTCAGCAGGTGTGAGCCTGCTCAGTACCTGGATGGGAGACCTCCTGGGAAAAACTAAGGTTGTGGCTGGAAGTGATGTTAGTGAGGCCAGCAGGGGGCACTCACCCTGCAGTCTCTGTGGGTCCTAATGCCCCAGTATAGTTATGGGGACACTATACTGTAAAAAGGCGCCATCCTTTGGATGAGATATAAAACCGAGGTCCTGACTCTCTGTGGTTATTAAAAATCCCAGGATGTTTCTCGAAAAGAGTAGGGGTGTTACCCTGGCATCCTGGCCAAATTTCCCTTTGGCCCTTACCAATCGTGGCCTCCTAATAACCCCCTTCTTTGAGCTGTCTTCATCACTCTGTTCTCATCCCCACATACCCTGATAGCTGATGTGTGGTGAGTGTACTGGTCACTATGGCTGCTGTCGCATCATCCAGGTGGGGCTGCACATTGGTGGTGGTGGGGGAGAGTCCCCATTACCTGTAAAGAATTTTAAGTGTCCAGAAAAGTGCTATATAAGTCTAAGCAATTATTAATTATTTTCATCATCATCATCCAAGAAGTTATTATTATAAAAAAACTAAATCTATTTGCTGCTGTCCATTTAATGTTTTCAGACATGCCTGTGCAGGGCTTCCTATCCCTAATGACTCCCAGCCTTCCTGCGTCTCTGAGCTGTGTCCGGTAACCACGCTGATATCTTTTTTCGCAGTACGAGCGGGAGGAGAGGAAGCGCAGAGAGGACCAGGAGAACATTCCCGAGTTTGTTCGAGTGAAGGAGAGCCTTCGGCACATCCAGGCGACGGGGCAGTGAGAAGCCCAGAGTGCTCATCTCCCTCAATCCTCCCTATAGCCCGAATCAGTCTCCTTCGGAGTTCAGGGAAACTAATCGCACTAAAGCATATTGAGCCTTTTCCAGTTTTACAATCTTCACACTGTTACAGCCCGTAAGAAATTTGAGTTTGAACACAGATGTGGATTTGGTACATTAAATATATTGCTGTTTTGTCTTGCTATGCTGTACAACCTACTTTGTGTGGACAAGGGGTGTTTTCAAACACCTCTCTCTAAAACGAATTACTCAACTACAATTCCAAGATCTTTCAAAACTTTCAGTATTTAATCTGAACCCAAAAATTTACACCAAAAGACTGATGAAATAAAATCTCTTCTAAATGTTTTGCAAAGCTTTTGTCCCATCTAAAACTGCATTTCTTTCTCAAATCTTAGATTAGGCAGTTTTTATTCTTTACTCTTGTGTTCACAGTAGTGTATACATCCTGGTGTGAGTGTAAAAGGAACGGGTTTGCCATCACAATCTTCAATCATGGCTGTTAGGTGGGGCTGACTTCATGTTATTTGTAACTTTAAAGTGAGTGTGCAAAGGCAGGAAAGGGGCAAGCAGATACAGGAGAAAACTGCACACTTTTTCCCAAATAACCACTGTTTACGTGTGATTTATCAACCAGTTAACCAATTCCACAATATTCAGTTTTAACTGGAATAAAAAAAGGCATGATGGCACAGTGATTAGCATTGCTGCCTCGCAATGGGGAGGCCCTGGGTTCAATTTCTGGGGTGCTACTGTATCTGCATGGAGTTTTAAATGTTCTCCCTGTGTTTTCATGGGTTTGCTTCCATAGTCCAAAATCATACTAGTAAGTTAATTGGCTCCTGGGAAATTGGCCGTAGTGTGTGTATCTGTGTGCTCCCCTGTGTAGGACTTGCTTCCCCTCTGGGGTGTACCCTGACTTGTGCCTGTTGCTTGCCGGGTAAGGCTCTGGCTCCCCTTTGACCCTGAATTGGAAGAATCATTTAGAAAATGGATGGATCAGCCATGGTTATATAGACGAAACACGTCAAGACATTAACATGTTACCATGGGACATGATACCCTTGATGCCACAGAAAGAGAAGATCAAAAGAAGTCGCACAAAACAAATGCTGGTGATATCCCTGTGCTACTCTCCCGTCTGTCCCAAGATATTTGTTGTCAATCCTTTAGCCTACTAACAACACAGCTCGTTGTAGAGGATCCAGAGAGCCAGACAGATAACAGCACATGCAGTCTTAATGTTCAAGTGAAATTAACACTTGGGAAAAACTCTTGGGAAACTTCCTGGAAAGACCTCCTGGGAAAAACTAAGGCTGCTGTTGGAAGAGATGTTAGTGGGGCCAGCAGGGGGCGTTCACCCTGGGCTCCATGTGGGTCCTAATGCCCCAGTATAGTGGTGGAGACACTATACTGTAAACAGGCGGCGTCCTTTGGATGAGACGTAAAACCGAGGTCCTGATTCTCTGTGGTCATTAAAAATCCCAGGGCGTTTCTCGTAAAGAGTAGGGGTGTAACCCTGGCGTCCTGGCCAAATTTCCCATTGGCCCTTACCAATCATGGCCTCCTAATAATCCCCATCTATGAATTGAGTTCATTACTCTGCTCTCCTCCCCACTGATAGCTGATGTGTGGTGAGACTACTGGTCACTATGGCTGCTGTCACATCATCCAGGTGGGGCTGCACATTGGTGGTGGTGGAGGGGGGTCCCCATTACCTGTAAAGCGCTTTAAGTGGAGTGTCCAGAAAAGCACTATATAAGTGTAAGCAATTATTATTATTAATTATAAATAAGAAACATAATGCAAGGTTAGGCACTGCAGTGACTGGGTGACACCCACGTCTTAGTTATCTCAAGGGCACAATGGCAATGTCCATAAAATGTCACCAACACAATAATTTCAAAATACAATTTCTTGCAGAGCATAAGGTTAAAGCTTGTTTTTAACAAAAAAAAACTCAATGTGTTTGTTATCTCAAGATCCAGTATGACTGGTGTTGCAGTCATTTTTCCTAGTGTTCTGTGAATTCAGGAAGGGGCTGGAGCTGTTTGTAGCTCCAAATCCTCACCTTCAGGCTGTTGGAAGTGTACTTTCCATGGACAGAAAACAGAGAAAGCCTCTATGAAGGCCACAGTCATCAGTAGATGCGATGTTTGAATTCTGCTGTTCAGTGGATGGTGGTATAATGTTCATGCAATAAAGTTATTTTTTAAAGTGCTACATGGCTCGTTGCAACATAATTTAAATGATGTTTTAATCATTTCTAGACTATTTTATTTTACATATGGTTAAAATAGGGAAAAATATGGTTATGAATGGTGAAAACAGGCTAGTACTAGTGGTTGCTTATTTTCTAATAGTATTATAAATCAGGAGATTGCAGCTGTGGATGTTCTGTTGTGGTGTGTTCATCACTCTGGGGTTCTGTTCATCAGAAAAGACAATGTGGGCATTCAATAGGATACTGTACCTCTGCCGTCAACTAATCTGCTGTTACATAAAGAAATGGCATAAGAGGAAAAATATTAAAAGGTAGGATATTTCCTGCCTTGTCTTTTGACCTCCTGTGTAAGTGAACATTTATCTTGAATGTCTCTGGGGCTCTCAATTTCAACCACATACAGACCTTTGCCTAACCTTTCTAACAAATTTGTCACAGCGTGTGTAAATAACCTTTCCGGAAAAACTGGCCCTGGAGTGATCAGGTTAAAAAAGTTGGCAGTTTATGTCATCCCAAAATAAGATATGAAAATATTTTCACAGTGTTTCTGGTCGCCTCTGGGATACCGAATTACAAAAAAGAGTACAGAGATCTGACAGTAAAGATTAGACAAAACTAAGCACACATTTACCAGTTCCAAATCACCCATAGAACATTTTTTTTTAAGTATTTTATTTTTTTGCACAGACACCTGTAGGGACACAACAGTTAAGACCATTTCGGTACTGATTTGCACTTAGAATCTTTCTGTTAAAAATACTGTGAAATGTGAAAGAGGCAGTTGACACAGCCACAGAATTTCTATTCCTTTCCCCTTGTGGGGTTGGATTCCAGAGGGTTGTTTAAATAGTGTCGGATGTTAGTATACGAGAAAAAAACCTGCCCTAGTAGGCATCTGACAGTGGTGCAGTCCTACTGTATATGTCAGACATATTCAAACAAAAAGATAAATGTGACTGGCAATCATTTCTTTGGTCTCTAGACAGCAGAGAACTCCAGCTCACTAAAACACCAGCTCCTCTGTGGCAGGAGAACTCTAGACCGTCCAGGAGTCTTTAACTCACTCAGTGCACTGAGCCCAGTTACACATAATATTGTCTAACCATGAAATCCAGCCTAAAATCTGGGATGTGTGTTGCTCCACAACCACTACCCATGAAAATGGGTGTTTCAAAGCCTCCACTCGCAGGATCTCTCACACATTGACACAAAGCATTTCTGTTCCTAAAGAGCTTGCTCACACTAAAATCACTAGCAAGCTTACAGAAATCTGAGATTCCAACAGCGTACTGCTGCTAAACACACAGCGTGCACAGAGATGGTCCTGTTCCTGGCCCACAGTCCACCAGTTAAGGTGGCACAGGCTGCATGCTGACAGTTTGGCAATTGATTAACAACACAGTTGAATTGTCAACCTTACAGCTGAGGTTTAGCCTAAAGTGCACTGGTACAGTTATCAGTCATTGATCAGTCGTAAAATTGTTGTTGGAAGAGTTCTGTTATCAGGAAATTGCTACTTTGAAGGGACACTAGATAATGTGCAGTGAGGACACAGGAAGACAGGAAACCAGTCCTTCAGACAGACACACACTCACACCAGGGCCTTTTTTTTCCCAGAAGCCAATTGACCTACCAGCATGTCTCTGGGGTGTGGGAGGAAACCAGTGCTCCCAGAGAAAAATCCTGGACATAAAAACTCCACATAGATAACACCCCAGGAATTAAACTCAAGATCCCAGTGCTGCAGAGCAGCGATGCTTGCCACTGTGCCACTGTGTCAGTCAAGACAAATCCCTAAGATCACAGATGGAATCAAACCCAGTGGATGACTGATGCTACATACTGGTCACCTGCATCTCCCCCAGACAAGGCCACACAGGTCACCCATGCCTCCCTGTCCATCCTGGGCATGGCAGTGCTGGTCTCCAGGACCTCTCCACCTCGACAATCATTTGACATGTATTACATTCAATCTAGGCTTAGGCAGAGAGAGGTCAGAGTGACAGACAGCTGCTATACTGCAGGAAATAAATAGAGAATAGAGATCTTCCTCAGAATAACAAGTCAAATCCCAGAATTCCCACACCTGCCAGAATCAAAACAGCTTCCAGTCCTACTGTTGGAGGAAACAGAACTGAGAGTTGCAGCCCAGTATGTGAACTCCTGTCACAGCCTGAGGAAGAGAGAGTCCATCAAACAATATTATGTTATTGATTCAAGTATTTGTAAATGTTTGCTAATTGTTATTGCTTTGGTCACAGTGTAATTCACCAGCCATGTCAATAAACCTCTTTGAATTTAACAGACATGGGTTCATAACTTGTGTTCTGAGGGGTTAGTACATGGACAGAGGGTTGGGAAAAAGATTTGACAGTTTTCTAGTTAAGCAAGAGGTAAAACATAGGCTGGTTCCAGATCCAATAATTCTCCCTCCTTGCTGTGCACTTTCAAACTACAGCCACCTGTGAGCCTGTGTGTAAACTATCCAAACAGTTTCGTCTCACAATCATGCCATTAAAGGTTTTTGCGCAGAAACCTGTAAGAATCTACAATAAGGTTGCTTTAGAAATAAGTTCAAGAAGGATTTAAAGCAGGAATCACTATAGAAGGATTCCATCGGTTTCTTAAAATGTATGCATTAAAGCTGACCATAAAAGATTCCTTATTTTGAACTTTCATGGATTAACAAGTGAACAAATGAAATGCAAGTGTGCGTGAACACCTTTTAAACACCACCATCTGGCATAGCTGTCTTCAGCATGGCAGTGGTGTGCAGCTCCAGGACTGGAGTGGGTTAGAACCTGCGAGTTCGTGCTCCATCTCTGAAGTGAATGACCTGACTGGGATGGTCATTACCTTAACCATTTGAACACTTTCAAAGCATTTTATCTTTCAATGATTGAAAGAGAACTCCTTGTAACCTCTGGCTACACTGGTGCGGTCCATCAGGAAGGGGATTGTATGTAGTTGTAACGAACAGTTCTTTCCGGACCCTATGCGGACGACACAGTCCGACGGAGTGGGGAAACACTGGGGAAACGTCATGCAGGAATACGGGGCAGAAGACAGGGGGGCGTGTCCAAGGTGCACTGGTGCACGGGGGAGGTGTGGCCGAGGCGAACAATCCAAAAGAGAAGTCCTTAGGGAATATCCAAAACACAAGGGTAAGTCCAAAACCAGGAGATCCATCAGAAGAAAGAATTAAAAACACGAGGGCTGGGACGGAACCGGAGGCGAGGGAACAGGAACGTGAACGGGAACAGAGGTTAAAACCTTAACGGGACCAGGCGCTTCCAGGTCCCGGACTCGGACGATATGGAAATCAGTTGCAGAGCCCGGATGAGAGTCAGTGCCTGGCTTTTAAGGTGGGCTGGGAATAGGGAGCAGGTGCATAGAATAGAGTCTAAAGTGAAAGGGCTGGAGCACCCTTAAGGAGGGGGGACTATAATCGTGACAGTAGTGTGGTATAGCTATTACCGTGCACAATCGATCAGGTAGTTATGACTGTAAAAGAATAATGGTGCTCATGAGTGGCTCAGGTCTTAGGGGCAGGCTCAAGCCTGAGAAGCAATCATTGACCAAAGGGTAGTTTTTGTGTCAAGACTCCATTACTAGAAGGCCAAGTGTCTTCTGTTTTTTTCCCACTCATGTTCTAAGTAATAGCATGCTCTCTAATTATCTGCAGAATTGCAGTATTTGGCATTGTACAATTGTAATGTTTTCTCATGAACTGTACATTTAATGAAGTGAATGTTGTGAGTAATCAGTAAAAGAAGACCTTAATAATCATCCTGTGAGTGTCGAAGAAAATAACCTGGTTAATTGCTTAATTGACAAACCTGAACGCACTAGACCATCCAGGAACTGAGTAAGAACTCTGATATCAATGGAAGGTATTCTCTTAAGAGTGAAGAAATGCCTGCAGAAAATCGAAAATGGAACATCTGCTTTCATCCTTAAGACCTAATTAGATTTTACAGCTGTGACACTTCGAGCTGAAACTCAGAGCTTGATCTTGATTTCAGATCCGGCTTTGATCTTGTTTCTCTGTTCCTCTGTGTCTTATCTGATCTCCTGGGTGTCTGGCAGGTAGCTGCAGGTGTGTCTGCCTGCGAGCCTCCAGCACTGGAGTGACTTCATATTA